TACACGGCCGTCACTGCAGCGTGTTCGTGCGTATAATATGTACATGATTATTGTACACCGGACAAGTACATAGGTAATCATAGATAAGTACTGAATACATACGACTAAGTAGCAGTGGCATAATTTCAGTGTTTTCTGGAGTAGGCCAGTCGGCGTGTACTTATTAAATTGCGGACTTTGCAGTCCATTTTACTAAAGTGCCGATTATAGAGGGGGAGGGGGATGTCAAACTAGCCCGAAAATATAACGGTTTGTACTTTGTACATAGAACCCATACACGTCTCGTTTTTCTGATTCACAACATTTCAACGGTTTTGTAAAATACGTATTTGCATTTTGATAATGTGCCGAATTTTGAAAAGCTAAACTAAAGCTAAACCAGATTGTGGCAAACGCATAAGTTGTCCCCCCATAAAATGATACCTCGTTTGCGTAGGTATACAAACACCCCTCGGTTGTGGTCCACTATGCATATTATATCATCATACTCTTTGCAAACTAAGATCTTGAACTCTGCACACAGGTTCATAGATCACGGTGACTACGGGAAACGTCACTGCGCATTGGTATCGTCAGGGTCGGCGAGAGGGTGGGGCAAAGAGGGCTTGAGCCCCGGGGTCCGTACCTCCGAGAGGGCCCGCCGTCTCAGCCTTTTATACAAAATTATTTTATAATCTCATTCGCCGTAGCATAAGATGTAAATTAAAATATTTTTATTGTACTAATAATAATTATGTATAAGTAGAATGTATATCATGGCCAAACGAATGTCAGTAAAGGGGCTTGGAACCTATCAGCCCCGGGGGCTCTCAAAAGTTCTCGCTGGCCCTGAGCATCGCTCAAGTGTTTCGTAAGAAACCAGTACCGTTGGTTAGGCTAGGCGCGCACGGACGGAGCGAGTGGTAACTGCAGCGCGGTAACCAACATATGTTTGTTGCACTGGGTGCCATACCGTTGTTTGTGTACAGCGCGTATTACGTAGTGACGGCGGCGCGGTTGATTCCCGCTAACGAGAGTATCGCGTGCTCCATCTGGATGTATGGGTTATGTTGTTTTTTTGACAAACAGACAGAATGGCGGCAGCACTATTACCGACTGAACGTTAATCTGATTAGCGCGGAGGAATTCAAAAAAAAGAAACTCTTTTGTTTTTTTTTTCGTTTTCCTACGACGATTTAATAATATATTATTGTTATGCACATACATAATACTGGTCGAGGGCAATAAAAACGTTCGTTTCGGGCTCGTTAAGTACAGGCGCGCACGCGTGCACAAAAAAAAAAAAACGAAATTTAAAAAAAAAAATACTCCCATGCAAACACATTACGCACCCATACGTATTTATATCGTGGTTTGTTAAGGGCGTTTAAAACTAATACACGCCGATACCATAATATACCCCGCACGGTAAAAGTAACCGGTGAAACTTTTATAATTTATACCGTGGTGGCTGTGAACCGATGCTAGTCAAATCGTTAAATTCGCAGAAGAGCACAAGGGTCCGTTGTGACTCGAGGAAATTCGTTTTTCCGCAAATACGACACATTTGGTTCGGGTGCGTACCGCCGCGTTCAACGCAGACGAGCAACACGTGCGTTAAATGAACGTTGCGCGCGTAAAATACGAGCAATGTTGTGTTCGTTAAGTTTACCGAAAAACCGTACCACGTATACCGTGGTTAACCAGGTTTGATATAAGGGTTGTTAGGACTTCTGAAGTATTGGGCCGGTGTTAATAGGGAGGAGAGTTCGTGATGAATTTAATCCATCCGTACTAAATGTACCCGTTTGCAGGTGTTCGTGCGAGTCTTGTTAGATTTTATAAATTTTATCTGTGTACATACGCCGGTCGATCTGGTCGTTCCACGGTTAACCATTGCTGTAGTTGTAGACCTTAAAACACACCGGTCTTTCGTTTGTGAAATAACGTTTTCGATTTAATCGGGGACCGACCAGTTCTGGCCGTGTGATTAGTGGCGACAGTCAGAAGCCGCTTCCACATTTACGCCCAGGCTATATCGATTAACTTGTCAAAATCGTCAAAACGAAACTAAACTATTACACTCCAAGCATACATGTATATGTCTATAGATATGTATACATACGAAGTTGTATTATGTGTACAGAACAATAATACAGGGGAAAAAAATACACCTGAGTCATTGGTCCATTTACAAAACGCTTTTACGATATTATTATAATATACAAACGTGAGATGTTATATTATTCAACCGTTGTCTGCAACGTACGCTGCGCCCGGTTCAGCCACACGTTTCAATCGAAGTCCGTTTGCTTTGCATTACACTCTCATTATAATATATTAATAATACATATTTTAATTTCCTAGATCACGATTTAGTTTCGATTAGTTAGATTCAGGTACCACGTGTCATAAGTTATACCGTCACGTTAGGTATGCGCTACTGAAGTTACCACCGCCGCCGTCTACAGACGTCGGTGTCCGATCAGTTACGTCAGCGGTTCTCAAACTGTGCCCTGCGAGAGTGATTTAAGGGCGTCTGCGTGGACATGAATCGAATAAAATTTAAACGTTATTACGAGTTGAATCCTTTTTTCTTTGTTTTACGTTTTAAAATTGATTTGGTTCGAGTTGTATAATGTTACATTAGGTAATTTATTACCAATCGCAATGCCGCTTTCTTTTAAATTTACGCCAAGGATTTCCTGATCTTGTCAAGATGGAAAAAGCTTGCAATAGGGGATTGCTTTGAGGTTGAATTCGCATATTAAAACGCGTAATAATCGTATTTATCTTTATAATAATTATAAATACTAAAGATATATATATATAGTAGGACATTAGAAACATTGATACACCATTTTTTATTTTTTTTCTATGAGTTGTAGTTTTTTCCTTGTTTTTGAAACGTCATAGATTTTGTTTGATCATCTTAAGGGCTCCACGATCGGAAACGTTTGAGAACCACTAATAGTAGTTTATAATAAACACTGGGTTTGGTTATCTTCCCGGTTGCGCACCTACGTCAAATGCGTACCATCAGCGGTAGCTTTTATTGACGGCAGATTAAAATATTTATAATATTATGGTAATACATATATATTATTTAAGGTTTCTATATACTCGTCAGAGTGGATACGCATACAACTACTGTGGCAGATAAACATCTGCGGTCCGAATTAAAAGGTTTAAAAATACCCACATTAAATCACTCTTGAACCGCGATGGAATTTTCATTTCGTGGGCGGAGACCGAGTAAATTAAGTGGTTATTTAAATCCAATAAAACATAGAAACATCATGTTTTTATCCATAATTTATAAACTATTGCCCGTCCACGTTTTGTTAAATAAGACGCAGATGATGTATTATTATTATTATTATTATTAAATTATTACTATACATTTGGGCGTGTTAAATTAACACATATAATGTGTACTTATTTAGACTGACGATCACTTAGCATTAAGACATGTATTAGAGTTGGGAAAATATTATGATATATACACGCGTCCATATAATATAGTGATTAAATAACATATTTATTTTTACACGCGTATGGGTTTAATTGAAAGTATTTTATTTTAATATATTATGTATGTCAAACGTTTATGTGTATTGTATAGTTTTATTTAAAAAAAGAAAAAAAACCCTTCGAGTGGACATATGTTATTATAAATCAATCGATAAAAGAATTAAACAAATATTACAAGGGTTCGTGTACACGATGGTCTTACAAAAAAAAAAAAAAAAAACAACACTCAGAAATCACTAGATGACAACGACAATTGAGATCCCATAGAAATTTTGTTTTTTTCCATTTACAATTCAAACGTAAAAGTAAATACACTTTATTCATAGGAAAAACGATCGATTTTTTTTCATTGAAAATAATATCATTTTAAGCAATTCGTTTGAAAATTGTACTTCGAAATAAATAGAATGAACATTTTTTTAATCAGTAAATATTGGTATGTTCTATAATACAATTTTAACCTATAATTTTAATTCAAACTTAAAAGTCTTTGAATAAATACTACAATTATTTTAATTTTCTTTACGTGTAATGCATTAATTTCTTTAATTTAAAAGTGAAATGTATAATTATATTCTACTTATTGAATTACATTACTTGTTGCGTGTATATATAGTACAAATAAAAATATCACTTTCAAAACAGTGATAATACTTGTTCATATTTTAATAGTTTGCATTTGTATACTACGTAATATTACCACAATGCTTAACCATTAAACATAATTCCAAAAATTTGTATCCTCTATAACAGTGATTAATAAAAATTGCATAATATTAAATGTCAGATTATAATGAAGATATGAAAAACCGATATGTCAGACATTCTTCTTTATAACCGATCCCAAAATTATACCCGACGCGTTAGGGTATCGTTAGGCATCTTGGCATCTGTGTAGATGTGTATAAATTGACCGGTAACATACCTGGTCATGACTAATGAAAAATAAAATAATATAAAACCACCTAAAATAATAAACTGTTCGTTCACTTACTACTACTAAGAGACCCACTTAGACGAACTGTAAAATTCAGCTCTGGGGCACAGTAAACATTCCCAATACTAACCGTATATCCAATGAAAAATTCTTCGTACTATTACAAAAGATCAATTATGCGTCTCTTATAAATCCCTACACTCCGTTTTAAACATACCAATTATCACTAAATTTATCCAAGTATATCACAAGCGTTTCGATAACTGTCTAAATCGTCATCCCAATGCGCCTCTTACCCGACTCTTGACTGCAACTGTTCCGGTATAAACGTTCAAAGATACCCGTATGAGATGTGTTCGTGCGGACGAGACGGAAAAAAAATGTTACCGTTCGTCTAAACTATACCTACGAAACACCGCCACCGTTAGGTTCTTTCGATTCATGTTTTACGCGCTGTACAATATCGTTTTTGTCATTATTAAAACCATTATTGTTCAAACTGTGACGGATTGTCTAATTGCAAAACGTTCGCATTTCTTCTATTTTCCAGGCGAAAACAGTTGCAATTCGAGCGACACCGAGCAAACGCGCCATCAGCACGTACCGTCGGATCAGCAAATTCGCGGTGGCAACGTCAGCGGTTGCGACGGCGGCGGCGGCGGCGGCGGCGGCGGAGGACTGCAACAGCGACGGTCCGGCGACATGGACGATTGCAGTGGCGGCGGTTGCGGCGACAGCAGCGACGGGGAACCGGACGACGAGCACATGTCTGGTGGCCGGGCGAGCGCGTCACCCGCGGCCGCGACCGGTGGCATGTCGCCGCCCGACAAGAAGAAGCACCGCCGGAACCGCACCACGTTCACCACCTATCAGCTGCACGAGTTGGAGCGAGCGTTCGAGAAATCACATTACCCGGACGTGTACAGCCGCGAGGAGCTGGCCATGAAGGTCAATTTGCCGGAAGTCAGGGTCCAGGTGAGTTTCCGATCATATCATATCACGTATTTCGTCGAACGATTCGGAAAATCCATACCACCCACCCCCACGGACAGTTGTACGGAACTGCATATCGTTATGATGACCGAGTGCAGTTCTTGCGTAAAAGGGCGATGCGGGTGTTTACCCTTTACGTGTATGACCTGACGCTGTTGATTAAGGGGTTTTGTTTCATATTTTACCCCGAGACACGCGCTTGGATTTCTAAACCAGAAATAAATGCAACCAAAACGCAAATCGCAGTCTAGAGTAGTTTATTTACTGTAATAAAATGATTAACGACAAACGAGATGTGGGTGTGTTCGAAATAAACCATTAGTGCCATATGTGATATAATAATTGTTCTAGATTCATCACGAACAATTAGTCGGTACAAACACGAGAACGCCTACATACGGCAGACTTTTGATTGTTTTCATGAGATAATGAGTAATGTTACTGAAACGCGTAAATGATAATTCATCAGTATCGGTTAAGGTCTCTATGGATTGTTGTGCTACAATATTTCCTTTTGTGAATACATCCGTTTTCAGGGGAACGTACCTTAAAAGGTGTTTTTTCTTTTTAGTTTTTTTCGTTTCTGAATGAATAACTGGTTTCATATTAAAATTAATTTTAAGAATGCGGATACTGTGGAACCTGGCCAAGACAGATTATATATAAAAGCCGAGATCTGTGTTTTCTGTCTTATGCGATAGACTGCAGTTTTTACGATCACTTTACAATTTGGCAAATTTAAAATATAACATTTACATTTATTAACTATCGGTATAGTTTAGAGTTGAAAGAAACATACCTAATATTTTCGCGAAAAGGGTTTTCATCGTATTCATCCTTTTTGTATCTTTGATTCTATTTATCATACTTCTTTTTTAACGAGCTACTATGTTTTTCTCACTGCATTTACATGTACACTAAAATACTGTAAACAAGTTTTATTTTAATAAAACTTTATGCTCTCCTAACGTATGTCCTGCATGCCTCTACATGGTTAAATATTTTATAATTATAACTCATTAGGATTTCTGTTCAAAGAAATTATTACAATATCGATGTCGATCTGCAGTAGTATGATGAATACATGTTATTTCACAAATATTTTATAGATTAAGATTATATTACCCTTAAAATTATAATAACATACAGGCTATATTCACGGAGGAGAAAATAATACCTGTATTGAGAGCTATCGATTTTTAAAGTAAAAAATTAATTTTGTTCAAATCTTACGCTTACGTTATTTTACTTATATTAGTGAGCAGGAATCTTATATGATGAGCCGTTTAAGTTGTGTAAACCGTTTATAAACTTTTGGTCAAGCAATAGTTTTATTTACTATCTTCTAATACCAATATCATATTCATAAATATTTATGATTTGTGGTTTCTAAATTGCTTTCATCATTTCATAAAGTCCGTAAACTAGACATATGTATTACAATTTGACCTTAAAAAAATATAGACTGACTTCCTATTGACTGTATTTCATTATTTTTATCTTATCTTTATCGAGAAAGTATTAAATACCATTTAATAATTAATTTAATAGCTATAATACGTCTGATAATGATATAATATTGGATTACTATTAAATTATGTATTATATGCATGTTATATGCATAATTTTGTAGTATGACGTTACTAATATTTTTTTTTACAATAACAACACTTAAAAGTTTAACTAAATTAATTACCGATCGTTAAACATTTCTATGAATGTCGTATATTTATATCTATTAGCCATTAAACTAATTCTACGAACTATTGTTTTAAGTAGACAGATTATTTCTGAAACAATAACTATAATTTAAGTAAGATCGAACAGTTATTTGATCTCATAACGATTGAAAGATAAAATAGTCCATTCAAGTTACTTAAAAAATATATATAAAAACGCCTAAACACGTTACATAACTAAAAATAATAGTATACACACTTATGCATGGATGTATTTAATTTAGTCTTATAATGAATACAATCTGTACTTCGAACAAACGAAAATGTTTCTGATTGCAATCTGAAGTGTAATTTAGTTATTTAATTATCACCTTAATTGACGTTATGATCAAATTATTTGTATTAATTGAGTAGTTAACGTGGATGTCAGAAATGTCATAGACGTTGACAAATATATATATATGTGTGTGTGTGTGTGTGTGTGTGTGTGTGTGTGTGTGTGTGTGTGT